AACCTGGGGGTAAATTGTCAGACATGGTGCTCATTCGTCAAACAATGCAAGCGCGGTGTGTCTGGCTCTCTTTTCCCTTGACAGTTCTTTCCCTGAATAAGACAGAGATGCATTTTTAATGGCATCCTATTTTTCATGTTTATGTGTTTGTTTATTGATATTCCAACATTCTAATACGAAATGAAGTTTCAAAAATGCATCGTATATTTTGGACATGATGGCCATGTTTAAATATTTGGAAGGATGTCACATCAAGAGAAGGGCAAGCTTGCGGTTCAAGATACTTGAACACAATGGAGCAATGGGTTCAACTGGCAGGAAAAGAGGTTCCACCCAAACATTAGGAAGAACTCCCACATAGTAAACATTGCAACATTGTTCAGCAATGAAATATGCTACCTTGGAGCTCGGTGAAGCCTCCTTTTCTAGAAGTATTTAAACAGAGATTAGATCAGTGTTTCTCAACCTGGGAGTCGGGACCCCTGGAGGGTCATGAGGGGGTGTCAGAGGGGTCGCCAAAGACCAAAGTATTTTATGTTGGTCATGGGGGTTCTGTGTGGGAAGTTTGGCCCAATTCTATCATTGGTGGGGTTCAGAATGCTCCTTGATTGTAGGTGAACTATAAATCCCAACAACTACAACTCCCAAATGTCAAGGTCTATTTTCCCCAGAATCTGCTCAGGACTTCATGTCTACCATGGCAACCATGGGGCTGTCCCAACAGGTATCTGGCCCCACCCACAGTGCTGGACATACATTGGACTTGGTTTTCTGCCAGGGATGGGAGGAAGGTGGCGGTGTTGAGGAGTTATCCATCTCTCCGTTGCCATGGACCGACCACCACCTGGTCAGCTTTAGACTCACTGCACCCCCTAACCTCCGCAGGGGTGGACCCATTAAATTGGTCCGCCCCAGGAGGCTTATGGATCCGGAGGGATTCCTGATGGCTCTTGGGGAATTTCCCGCCACCTCGGTTGGTGATCCTGTTGATGCCCTGGTCGCTCTCTGGAATGGGGAGATGACTAGGGCAATAGACACGATCGCTCCAGAACGTCCCCTCTCAAGTAGCCGAGCTAAACCAGCCCCTTGGTTTACTGAGGAGCTGGCAGCGTTGAAGCGAAAGAAGAGGGAACTAGAGAGCGTGTGGCGTTCGGATCCGAGCGAGCCAAACGAACACGGTTTGTGTCCTTTTTAAGGTCATACGCCGCGGCAATAAAAGCCGCAAAGAAAACTTTCTTTGCGGCCACTATTGCGTCTGCAAAGAACTGTCCGGCAGAACTGTTCCGAGTTGTCAGAGGCCTGTTAAAGCCCACCATTCAGGATGGGTGCCCTGATGACTCGGCAGCTCGCTGTGAAGCCTTTGCTCGGTTCTTTGCAGACAAAGTCGCTTTGATCCGCTCTGGACTGGACACCATATTAACGGCAGTCTCTGAGGATGTAACACGAACATCTGCTTGTCCAATTTTGATGGATTCATTTCAATTGGTTCAAACCGAGGATGTGGACAAGGTGCTTGGAGGAATGAGAGCTACCACATGCATCCTAGACCCCTGCCCATCCTGGCTTCTAAAGGAGGCCAGAGGGGGATTGGCCGAGTGGGTGAAGGTGGTGGTTAATGCCTCCCTTCGGGAAGGCATATTTCCAACCAGCTTAAAGCAAGCTGTGATAAAACCGCTGTTGAAAAACCATCACTGGACCCCACTCAATTCGTCAACTATCGGCCTGTTTCCAATCTCCCCTTTTTGGGCAAAGTCATGGAACGTGTGGTGGCCTCACAACCTCCAGGCATTCTTGGTAGACACGGATTATCTGGATCCGGCACAGTCTGGCTTTAGGCCGGGGCATGGTACCGAGACAGCCTTGGTCGCCTTAGTGGATGATCTCCGTCGGGAGCTCGACAGGGGGAGTGTGTCCCTGTTGGTGCTACTCGACCTCTCAGCGGCCTTCGATACCGTCGACCACGGTATCCTTCTGAGACGCCTCGCGGGAATGGGTCTCGGAGGTACTGCCTTGCAGTGGCTCCAGTCATTCCTCGAGGGTCGGTCTCAGAAGGTGTTACTGGGGGACTCCTGTTCTACCCCACAACCTTTGTCTTGTGGGGTTCCTCAGGGTTCAATACTGTCTCCCATGTTGTTTAACATCTACATGACGCCGCTGGGCGAGATCATCCGGAGTTTCGGGGTACGGTGTCATCTGTACGCAGATGATGTCCAACTCTGTCACTCCTTTCCACCTGCTACTAAGGAGGCTGTCAAGGTCCTGAACCGGTGCTTGGCCACTGTGACAGTCTGGATGAGGGCGAACAAATTGAAATTGAATCCAGACAAGACAGAGGTACTCCTGGTCAGTCGTAAGGCCGAACAGGGTATAGGGTTACAGCCTGTGTTAGACGGGGTCGCACTCCCCCTGAAGACGCAGGTTCGCAGTTTGGGTGTGATCCTGGACTCATCGCTGAGCCTGGATCCTCAGGTTTCGGCGGTGACCAGGGGAGCATTCGCACAGTTAAGACTCGTGCGCCAACTGCGACCGTACCTTGGGAAGTCTGACTTGGCCACAGTAGTCCACGCTCTGGTTACATCCCGCCTTGACTACTGCAACGCTCTCTACGTGGGGTTGCCTTTGAAGACGGCCCGGAAGCTCCAACTAGTCCAACGGGCGGCAGCCATGGTACTAACAGGAGCAGGGCGCAGGGAGCATACAACTCCTCTGCTGTACCAGCTCCACTGGCTGCCGATATGCTACCGGGCTCAATTCAAAGTGCTGGCGTTGGCCTTTAAAGCCCTAAACGGTTCTGGCCCAACTTATCTATCCGAACGTATCTCAGCCTATCAGCCCACCAGGACCCTAAGATCTTCGGGAGAGGCCCTTCTCTCCATCCCGCCTGCTTCACAGGTGCGGCTGGCGGGAACGAGGGATAGGGCCTTTTCTGTGGTGGCCCCACGGCTTTGGAATGCCCTCCCTATAGAGATAAGATCAGCCTCCTCGCTGATGGCATTTCAAAAAAAACTGAAAACATGGATGTTTGAGCAAGCATTCGGCTAATCCGATGCGATGAAGTTTTGATCAAGGACTGGTAATTACAGACAACGAAATTGGATTATGGTTTAAGTTAAGAGATGCATTGGTCTGTATTGGTGGCCCAATACTGTGTATTGTATATGTATGTGTTTTATATTTTTATCGGATTATTGTTGTTTTTAATATTGTAAACCGCAATGAGTCGCCGTTTTAGGCTGAGATATTAGCGGTATACAAGTGTACTAAATAAATAAATAAATAAATAATAAATATGGCTGCTTGTGAAGTGAGTTAGGAATGGCTGCTTGTGAAGCAGTTAGGAATCTGTGTGTGAAAAGAAGTAGTTAAGAATCCCTGTCTGAGAGAGAGAGAGACAGTGGGGAATCTCTGTTTGATAGAAGAGTTAAAGTGGTGGCTTCGTCGACATGTCTTCTTTACAAAATGGTGGCAGCGGTGGGATAGAAAAGAAAGGTCTCCCCTGCCACACGACAGCACCTGTAATTATCTACTCTCTTTACACTGTACTATAAAATCTCTGCTAACTGTGACAAAGACTCTGCAGTGTTGGTTATGGATCAGAACTAACTGCTTGCCTTTGAGACAGTCCGTCCCATTGCGCACCTGGAGGAGGAGGCAATGAGAGGAGGAATCCACGTGCCTACCTAGCAGGGGGGTTGTGTGTGTTTTGCTCTTCTTTTCTTTATCTCTGTGACGTAATATAAACTACTAAACTAAGTGACAACAATGCCCAGAGGTGTAATAAAATAGCCTAGAAGGTGAATATGAGTCAATAGGGTAATATGACATGACTCTAGGCTGCCTCAATAGGGGTAGAGTGTCCAAACCCCTAGTCCGCCTTCTCTTCTGCTTTGCTTAGGTCTCTTGTGGCAAAGACAACATGTCCCCCTACCACGTCATTCATTCCATAAAAGCAGATTTTGGGATATTATCTTCCATAATAATTGGACTCTTGCAGAAAAGACAATATGTCCCCCTACCACGTCATTCATTCCATAAGAGCAGATTTTGGGATATTAACTTCCATAATAATTGGACTCTTGCAGAAAAGACAACATGTCCCCATACCACGTCATTAATTCCATAAAAGCAGATTTTGGGATATTAACTTCCATAATAATTGGACTCTTGCAGAAAAGACAACATGTCCCACTACCACATCATTCATTCCGTAAGAGCAGATTTTGGGATATTAACTTCCATAATAATTGGACTCTTGCAGAAAAGACAACATGTCCCCCTACCACGTCATTCATTCCATAAGAGCAGTTTTTGGGATATTAACTTCCATAATAAATTGGACTCTTGCAGAAAAGACAACATGTCCCCCTACCACATCATTCATTCCGTAAGAGCAGACTTTGGGATATTAACTTCCATTATAATTGGACTCTTGCAGAAAAGACAACATGTCCCCCTACCACGTCATTCATTCCATAAGAGCAGTTTTTGGGATATTAACTTCCATAATAATTGGACTCTTGCAGAAAAGACAACATGTCCCCCTACCACGTCATTCATTCCATAAGAGCAGATTTTGGGATATTAATTTCCATAATAATTAGACTCTTGCAGAAAAGACAGCATGTCCCCCTACCACGTCATTCATTCCATAAGAGCAGATTTTGGGATATTAATTTCCATAATAATTAGACTCTTGCAGAAAAGACAACATGTCCCCCTACCACGTCATTCATTCCATAAGAACAGACTTTTGGATCTTGACTCATAATCTGACTCTTGTGGCAAAGGCAATTTGTTCCCCTACCACGTCATTCATTCCCTGCGAGCATGGAGTCATGCCCTCTTATCTTCATATTTTCATTATTCTTCACATTTGTATCTGTGACTTCCTCTTGTTGTATATGCCTGTGTTGTGATTGTGTTGATGTATGCCAATAAAGGCTATGCATGTGTGTATAACAACAACAACAACAACAACAACAACAACAGCTCAAAATTACCTTCAACCCTCCATCTTCATTGTCATCTTCCTCCTCCTCCTCCGCCTTCTTCTTTCGCTTGGCCTTTTTTTCCTTCTTCTCTTTCAGCTTCTTCTTCTTCTTCTTATTGGGGGAATAGTCACTGCCTTCGCTCTCCGATTTCTCCCTCAAGACCAGTTCCTCCTCGTTTTCAGGGATTTCCAAATCGAAGCTTCCCTACATTTCCAAAAAAATTGGGAACAGATTGGAGAAAAGAAGGAGGAAGGATGAAAAGGAAAGAAGGGAAAATCCCCTCTTCATCTGAAAAACAAAACCCATATTGTCAGAAGGAAAGAGAGCCATTTTGAATATCTTTGTTACAGTGGTTCTTCCTATCTAGAGACATTGAAAAGTTATAATAGTTGAAATTTTTAATTCCTATTTTTAAATAAAAAAGGGGGTGCGACTATTACATGATGAAAAAAATGAAAAATTTCTGTTCCTGGTTTGAAAGTATCATTTCCTGTTTAATTGTGTGGTCCTTACTTGGAAAGCAATTGTCACACTCCATAAACTTTGTTTTGTCACTGCCACAATATTCATCAAGAAACTATAGCCAAAAAAGGGGGTGCGACTATTACATGATGAAAATAAATGAAAAATTTCTGTTCCTGGTTTGAAAGTATTATTTCCTGTTTAATTGTGTGGTCCTTACTTGGAAAACAATTGTCCATAAACTTTGTTTTGTCACTGCCACAATATTCATCAAGACACTATAGTCAAAAAAAGGGGGTGCGACTATTACCTGAGGAAAAAAATGAAAAATGTCTGTTCCTGGTTTGAAAGTATTATTTCCTGTTTAATTGTGTGGTCCTTACTAGGAAAGCAATTGTCACACTCCATAAACTTCATTTTGTTGCTGCCACAAGCTATGCCGAATTGGTTGAGATATTCATCGAGAAACTATAGCCAAAAAAAGGGGGGGGGGTGCGACTATTACCTGATGAAAAAAATGAAAAATTTCTGTTCCTGGTTTGAAAGTATTATTTCCTGTTTAAATGTGTGGTCCTTACTTGGAAAGCTGTTGTCACACTCCATAAACTTTGTTTTGATGCTGCCACAAGCTATGCCGAATCGGTTGAGATATTCATCGAGAAACCATAGCCAAAAAAGGGGTGTGTGACTATTACATGATGAAAAAAATGAACAATTTCTGTTCCTGGTTTGAAAGTATTATTTCCTGTTTAGTTGTGTGGTCCTTACCTGGAAAGCAATTGTCACACTCCATAAACTTCATTTTGTCACTGCCACAAGCTATGCCGAATTGTTTGAGATATTCATCGAGAAACTATAGCCAAAAAAGGGGTGTGTGACTATTACATGATGAAAAAAATGAACAATTTCTGTTCCTGGTTTGAAAGTATTATTTTCTGTTTAATTGTGTGGTCCTTACTAGGAAAGCAATTGTCACACTCCATAAACTTCATTTTGTCGCTGCCATAAGCTATGCTGAATTGGTTGAGACATTCATTGAGAAACTATAGGCAAAAAAAAGGGGGATGCGACTATTACATGATGAAAAAAATGAAAAATTTCTGTTCCTGGTTTGAAAGTATTATTTCCTGTTTAATTGTGTGGTCCTTACTTGGAAAGCAATTGTCACACTCCATAAACTTCGTTTTGTTGCTGCCACAAGTTATGCTGAATTGGTTGAAACATTCATCGAGAAACTATACCCAAACGTACTATAGTAGGATATCCCTTGCGCGAAAACAACGTTTGTGCAGTTTAATAAACTTTTCCCATGTTTTCATGATAAAACCAATTAGGAAATAATATTTCCAACCAGGAACAAAAATTGTGTTACATTGTGTAATCTATCTATATAAATAAAAATGTAATGTTAGTTTGTGATATTTACAGAACTCAAAAACCACTGGGGGAATTGACACCAAATTTGGACACAAGACACCTAACAACCCAATGTATGTCCTCCACTCAAAAAATTGATTTTGTCATTTGGGAGTTGTAGTTGCTGGGATTTATAGTTCACCTACAATCAAAGAACATTCTGAACCCCACCAATGATGGAATTGAACCAAACTTGGCACACAGAACTCCCATGACCAACAGAAAATACTGGAAGGGTTTGGTGGGCAGTGTCCTTTGTTTTTGGAGTTGTAGTTCACCTACATGCAGAGATCATTGTGGACTCAAACAATGATGGATCTGGATCAAACTACACGAATACTCAGTATGCCCAAATGTGAACACTGGTGGAGTTTGGGGGAAATAGAATCTTGACATTTGGGAGTTGTAGTTGCTGGGATTTATAGTTCACCTACAATCACAGAGCCTTCTGAACCTCACCAACGATAGAATTGGGCCTAACCTCCCTTCTGTTCTTCCTTCCTTCCACTCTCCCTCCTTCCCTCTATCCTGTCTCCCTCCACCCTTTCCGTTTCTTCATTTCTCTTGTCTCTTTCCTCCCTCCTTCCTCTCTCCTTCCCTCTTTCTTTCCTTCATCCTTCCCTTCCCTCTTCCCCCGCTTCCTTCCTTCCTTCCTTCCTTCCTTCCTTCCTTCCTTCCTTCCTTCCTTCCTTCCTCTATCCTTCCCTCTTCTCTTATTTCCCTCCTCCCTCTCTCCCTCTCTCCTCCCTCCTTCCCTTTCTTTCCCTCCTTTTTTCCCTCCATGTGGGCCACAGCAACGCATGGCAGGGGACGGCTAGTATATACATATTCACATACATTCATATATATATATATACACACACACACACACACACACACACATATACACATACATTCATATATATACACACACATACATATATATACACACACACATACAGACACACACACACATATACACAAGCACACACAAGAATGCACATACATATACACATGCATACATACATGCACACATACACACATATACATATAGACATACATATACACAAGCACACACACACACAGAAATACACACATATGCACACACATATATACACCCACCTATCTATCTATCTATCTATCTATCTATCTATCTATAGATATATGCTAACACAAATATATACACACATACACAAATATATTCATACACATAAACACATATATACACACACACAAAACATAAACACAGACTGGGCCATAGCAATGTGTGGCAAGAGACAGCTGGTATCTTATAATTATATAATTATACATATAGACATACATATACACAAGCACACACACACAGAAATACACACATATACACACACATATATACACCCACCTATCTATCTATCTATCTATCTATCTATCTATCTATCTATCTATCTATCTATCTATCTATAGATATATGCTAACACAAATATATACACACATACACAAATATATTCATACACATAAACACATATATACACACACACAAAACATAAACACAGACTGGGCCACAGCAATGTGTGGCAAGAGACAGCTAGGTAGGTAGGCAAGTAGTCCCCTGACATTAAGTCCAGTCATGTCTGACTCTGGGGTGTGGTGCTCATCTCCATTTCTAAGCCGAAGAGCCAGCGTTGTCCGTAGACACCTCCAAGGTCATGTGGCCGGCATGACTGCATGGAGCGCCGTTACCTTCCCGCCGGAGCGGTACCTATTGATCTACTCACATTTGCATGTTTTCGAACTGCTAGGTTGGCAGAAGCTAGGGCTGACAGCGGAAGCTCACGCCGCTCCCCGGAATCAAACCTGCGACCTTTCGATCAACAAGCTCAGCAGCTCAGTGCTTTAACCCACTGCGCCACCAGGGATATGTATATATGTGTATATATGTGGTTATACGCATGCATTGTAATGTATTTTTTTGGCTTTTTACGTCCCTTCCGCTGTGTTTTTCAGTGTTTTTATGAGCGATGGTCACTTGTTGGCCTGAGAGGTGTCTTGTGTCCAAATTTGGGGTCAATTCGTCCAGTGGTTTTTGAGTTATGTTAATCCCACAAATGAAAATTAGATTTTTATTTAGATAGATAAGAAAATATAATATAATATAATATAATATAATATAATATAATATAATATAATATAATATAATATAATATAATATAATAATAATAATAATAATAATAATAATATAGGAAACCTGCTACAAAACAGGAGCTTTTTTGTTGAGTCCCAGGGCCAGAGAAGATCACAGGAGCTGTCTTCATAGACCTGTCAGCGGCTTATGAGACTGTGAACCACCGCTGCCTCCTCCTGAGAAAAAATGTATAGTATCACAAAGGACGACCACCTCACCCGCCTCATAGGAAACCTGCTACAAAACAGGAGCTTTTTTGTTGAGTCCCAGGGCCAGAGAAACAGGAGCTTTCTTCATAGACCTGTCAGCGGCTTATGATACCGTAAACCCCCGCCTCCTCCTGAGAAAAATGTATAGTATCACAAAGGACGACCACCTCACCCGCCTCATAGGAAACCTGCTACAAAACAGGAGCTTTTTTGTTGAGTCCCAGGGCCAGAGAAACAGGAGCTTTCTTCATAGACCTGTCAGCAGCCTATGATACTCTGAACCACCGCCTCCTCCTTAGAAAAATGTATAGTATCACAAAGGACTACCACCTCACCCGCCTCATAGGAAACCTGCTACAAAACAGGAGCTTTTTTGTTGAGTCCCAGGGCCAGAGAAACAGGAGCTTTCTTCATAGACCTGTCAGCGGCTTATGATACTGTAAACCCCCGCCTCCTCCTGAGAAAAATGTATAGTATCACAAAGGACGACCACCTCACCCGCCTCATAGGAAACCTGCTACAAAACAGGAGCTTTTTTGTTGAGTCCCAGGGCCAGAGAAACAGGAGCTTTCTTCATAGACCTGTCAGCGGCTTATGATACTGTAAACCCCCGCCTCCTCCTGAGAAAAATGTATAGTATCACAAAGGACGACCACCTCACCCGCCTCATAGGAAACCTGCTACAAAACAGGAGCTTTTTTGTTGAGTCCCAGGGCCAGAGAAACAGGAGCTTTCTTCATAGACCTGTCAGCGGCTTATGATACTGTAAACCCCCGCCTCCTCCTGAGAAAAATGTATAGTATCACAAAGGACGACCACCTCACCCGCCTCATAGGAAACCTGCTACAAAACAGGAGTTTTTGTTGAGTTCCAGGGCCAGAGAAGCAGATGGCGGAAACAGAAGAACGGCCTGCCTCAGGGGAGCGTGCTTGCTCCATCCATGTTCAACATCTACACAAATGACCAGCCACTGCCAGAAGGGACAGAGAGTTCCATCTATGCTGATGATCGTACCATTACTGCTCAAGCAGGGAGCTTTGAGATGGTTGAACAGAAGCTCTCCGAAGCTCTAGGTGCTCTTACTGCCTATTACAGGGAAAACCAGCTGATCCTTAATCCATCTAAAACACAGACATGTGCTTTTCACCTTAAGAACAGACAAGCATCCCGAGCTCTGAGGATTACCTGGGAAGGAGCATTGCAGCGCACTCAAATACCTGGGAGTCACTCTGGACCGTGCTCTGACCTATTTATTTTTATTATTTATTTATTTGCTTTATTTCTATACCGCATTTTTCAGCCCAAACAGGCGACTCAATGCAGTTTACAAGGTAGAAGTTATCACAACAATGTCAGTGCAATCAACAACATCAATCGACAACAATTAACAAAAACAAACATAACGCCTCAGTGAAGTCAGATCCGTTCTCATAATCCTTGTGCCATTCCTATGTTCCATTTACCGTCTTCCTATGTTCAGTTGCACTGTTTAACCAAACGCTTGTTCAAAAAGCCAAGTCTTGACCTTTCTCCGAAACGCCAGCAACGAAGGTGCCTGTCTGATGTCTACCGGTAAGGCATTCCATAGCCGAGGGGCCACCACTGAGAAGGCCCTGTCTCTCGTCCCCGCCAGACGCGCCTGTGACGCAGGCGGGATCGAGAGCAGGGCCTCCCCAGACGATCTTAATGTTCTAGTCGGTTCATAGGTGGAGATGCGTTCGGAGAGGTAAGTGGGGCCAGAATCGTTTAGGGCTTTATAGGCTAAAGCCAGCACCTTGAATTGTGCCCAGTAGCGGATTGGCAGCCAGTGGAGCTGGCTCAACAGAGGAGTGGTATGCTCCCTGAGTTCCGCTCCCGTTAGAAACCTGGCTGCCGAGCGCTGGACCATCTGAAGCTTCCGGGCAGTCTTCAAGGGCAACCCCACATAGAGCGCGTTGCAGTAATCAATACGGGATGTAACCAGAGCGTGGACTACCGTGGCCAAGTCAGACTTCCCAAGAAGCACTGCCTGAAGCACTACAAGAAGCACTGCCTGAACATCAAGCAAAAAGTGGGTGCTAGAAACAATATCATGCAAAAGCTGACTGGCACAACCTGGGATCACAACCAGACACAGTGAAGACATCTGCCCTTGCGCTATGCTACTCTGCTGCTGAGTATGCATGCCCAGTGTGGAACACATCTCACCACGCTAAAACAGTGGATGTGGCTCTTAATGAGACACAGGATGTTTACGCCTCACACCACTGGAGAAATTACACTGCTTAGCCGGTATTGCACAATAGTGAAAGGACCAAGGCAGTGACATCTCCAGCCCATCCCTTGGTTGGGTATCAGCCAGCATGTCAACGACTTAAATCAAGAAATAGTTTTCTAAGGTCTACAGAGACACTGCTGGAACACCTCAGCAAGCGAGAGTCCAAAAGTGGCAGGCTCAAACCCAGAACCTCAATCCATGGCTGATACCAGATGAGAGATTCCCCCCTGGGCGACGTGGAAGGTGGTGAACACACTGCGCTCTGGCACCACGAGATGCGGAGCCAATCCAGGAACCAAAGTCGTGTTACATAGTGTTAGGAAGGAGTCGAGGCAAAACTTTCAGCACCACGGACAGAGATTTCAGGACCATGGGCAGGGAAGGAGGCCCCCATTCCCTCTTTCCAGCGCAAGCCTTCCCACCGTTTCCTTCACTCTACTTTACCTCCTTCTTCTTCCGCTTGACTTTGGAGGCCTTGGCTTCCTTGGTCTTCTTCGGCTTCTTCTTCTTCTTCAGCAGCTCCTCGTTCGGGTAGAAGTCCTCCAGAGCTTCCAGGAGACCCTCCTCGTCTTCTGGGAAAAGAAGGAAGGAGCGGAGATCAGGGAAGGAAGGGTCAGGTGAAAGGACTCTATCACTCCACAGAGAGGGAAGGGACCCCCAAAGGGCATCTGGTCCGACCCCCTTCTGCCATCCAAGAACGGAGGGAAGGAGAGAGGAGGGAGGGAGGAAGGAAAGAGGGTGGTAGGGAGGAAAGAGGAAAGGAGGGAGAGAAGAAAGAGGGAGGGAGGAAAGAGGGAGGGAGACAAGAGGAAAGGAGGGAGGAAGGAAAGAGGGAGGAAGGAAGGAAGGAAAGAGGGAGGGAGGAAAGAGGAAAGGAGGGAGAGAAAAAAGAGGGTAAGGGAAGGAGGAGGAGGGAGGAAGGAGGAAGGAAGGAGGGAGGGAAGGAAAGAGGAAAGGAGGGAAAGAAGAAAGAGGGAGGGAGGAAAGAGGAAGAAGGAAGAGGAAAGGAGGGAGGAGAAGAGGGAGGGAAGAAAGAGGAAAGGAAAAGAGGGAGGAGGGAGGGGAGGGAAGGAGGGAAGGAGGAGGGAGGAGGAAGAAGGAAGGAAGGAAGGAAGGAAGGAAGGAAGGAAGGAGGGAGGGAGGAAGGAAAGGAGGAAGAAGAAGGAGGGAGAAGGAAGAAAGGAAGAGGAAGGAAGGAAGGAGAAGAGGGGAGAGAAGAAGAGAGGGGGAAGGAGGGAGGGGGGGAGGGAGGAAAGGAAGGAAGGAAGGAAGGAAGGAGGAGGGAGGAAAGAGGGAGGAAAGAAAGAGGAAAGGAGGGAGGAAGAGAAGAAAAGGGAGGAAAGGGGAGGAGGGAAAGAGGAAAGGAGGGAGAGAGAAAAGGAAGAAGGAAGGAAAGAGGGAGGAAGGAAAGAAGAAGGAAGAAAGGAAAGAAGAAGGAAGAGGAGGAGGAAAGAGGAAAGGAGGAGAGAAGAAAGAGGGAGGAAGAAGAGAGGAAGAAGGAGGGAGGAAAAAAGGAGGGAAGAAAGGAAGGTAGGAGAGAAGGAGAGAGAAGGAAGAAGGGAAGAGGAAGGAAGAGGAAAGGAAGAAGGAAGGGGAAGAGGAAGGAAGGAAGAAAGAAAGAGGGAAGGAGAGAGGAAGGAGGGAGGAAAGAGACAAAATGAAGAAACGGAAAGGGTGGAGGAAGAAAGGATAGAGGGAAGGAGGGAGAGTGGAAGGAAGGAATGACAGAAGGATACAGGAAGGAGGGAAAGAGGAAGGAAAAATGAAGAGGGAGGGAGGAAGGAAGGAAGGAAGGAAGGAAGTGTTTAAAGGAAGGAGAGAAGGAGGAGTGAGGGAGGGAAGGGGAAAGGAAAAGGGGAAGGATTTAAGGGAGAGAGGGAAGAAATGAAGAAAAGGGGAAAGAGGTAGGGAGTGAGGAAGGAGAGAGGGAGGAAGGAAGGATTTAAGGGATGGAGGAAGGACGGATGGAAGGAAGGAGAGAAGGAAAGAGGAAGGAGGGAAGGAAAGAAGCAGGGGGGGGAGAGAAAGGGGAAAGAAGGAAGGAAAGAAACATTTAAGAGAAGGAAGGAAAGAGAAGGAGGGGAAAGAAGGAAGAGGGGAAGTACCTAAAGGAGGGAGAGAACAAAGGAGAGAAGGAAGAAAAGGAGATAGAGAAGGAAAGGAAGGAAGGGAAAAGGGAAAGGGAAGGAAGAAGAAGGAAGGAAGGAAAGAGAAAGAGAGAAGGGAGGGAGGGAGGGAAGGAGAGGGAAGGAGGAAGGAAGGAAGGGAAAAGAAAAGAGGGAGGGAGAGAAGAAGAGAGGAAAGGGAAAGGGGGAAGAGAGGGAGGGAGGGAAGGAAGGGGGGTAGAGAGGAGGGAGAGAGGGAGGGAAGAGAGAAGGAGGGATAAGGTCAAAACCGCGTCCGGTACTTCCACACCAGGGCGTAAAGTGGAGAGCAGAAGGGAGGAAGGGAAAGGGGAAAGAGGGAGGGAGGGAGGGAAGGAAGGAAGAAGGGAAAGGAAGAGAGAGGGAGGGAAGAAAGAAAAAAGGGAATGAAGGAAGGAGAGGAAAAGATGAAAGGAAGGAAAGAGGGAGGAAAAAGGGAGAGATGAAGGAAGCAAGGAAAGAAAGAGGAAGGGTTTAAGGGAGGGACAGAGGGAAGGAAGGAAGGGAAAAGGAAAAGAGGGAGGAGGGAGGAGGGAAAGAAAGATTTAAGGGATGAAGGAAGGAGGGAAGGAGGGAAGGAAGGAAGGAAGGAGAGATGAAAATGGAGAGACGAAGGAAGCAAAGAAAGGAAGGGGAAGGGTTTAAGAGAGGGAGGAAAGGAAGGAAGGGAAGAGGGGAAGAGGGAGGGAGGATGTAAGGGATGAAGGAAGGAGGGAAGGAAAGAGGGAGGAAAAAAGGGGGAGATGAAGGAAGCAAGGAAAGAAAGAGGAAGGGTTTAAGGGAGGGACAGAGGGAAGGAAGGAAGGGAAAAGGAAAAGAGGGAGGAGGGAGGAGGGAAAGAAAGATTTAAGGGATGAAGGAAGGAGGGAAGGAGGGAAGGAAGGAAGGAAGGAGAGATGAAAATGGAGAGACGAAGGAAGCAAAGAAAGGAAGGGGAAGGGTTTAAGAGAGGGAGGAAAGGAAGGAAGGGAAGAGGGGAAGAGGGAGGGAGGATGTAAGGGATGAAGGAAGGAGGGAAGGAAAGAGGGAGGAAAAAAGGGGGAGATGAAGGAAGCAAGGAAAGAAAGAGGAAGGGTTTAAGGGAGGGACAGAGGGAAGGAAGGAAGGGAAAAGGAAAAGAGGGAGGAGGGAAAGAAAGATTTAAGGGATGAAGGAAGGAGGGAAGGAGGGAAGGAAGGAAGGAAGGAGAGATGAAAATGGAGAGACGAAGGAAGCAAAGAAAGGAAGGGGAAGGGTTTAAGAGAGGGAGGAAAGGAAGGAAGGGAAGAGGGGAAGAGGGAGGGAGGATGTAAGGGATGAAGGAAGGAGGGAAGGAAAGAGGGAGGAAAAAAGGGGGAGATGAAGGAAGCAAGGAAAGAAAGAGGAAGGGTTTAAGGGAGGGACAGAGGGAAGGAAGGAAGGGAAAAGGAAAAGAGGGAGGAGGGAAAGAAAGATTTAAGGGATGAAGGAAGGAGGGAAGGAAGGAAGGAGAGATGAAAATGGAGAGATGAAGGAAGCAAAGAAAGGAAGGGAAAGGGTTTAAGAGAGGGAGGAAGGGTTTAAGAGAGGGAGGAAAGGAAGGAAGGGAAGAGGGGAAGAGGGAGGGAGGATGTAAGGGATGAAGGAAGGAGGGAAGGAAAGAGGGAGGAAAAAAGGGGGAGATGAAGGAAGCAAGGAAAGAAAGAGGAAGGGTTTAAGGAAGGGAAGGAGGAAAGGAAGGAAGGGAAAAGGGAAAGAGGGAGGGAGGATGTAAGGGGAAAAGGAAAGAGGGAGGGAGGAGAGGAATGAAGGAAGGAGGAAGAAGGAAGGAAGAAGGGAAGGGAGGAAGGAGGAAGGAAAGAGAAGAAAAGAAAGAAGGAAAAGGGGAAAGGAAAGGAAGCAAGGAAAGAAAGGGGAAGGGTTTAAGGGAGAGAGGGAAGGAAGGAAGGAAGGGAAAAGAAAAGAGGGAGGGGAGAAGAAGAGAGGGGGAGAAGGAAGGAGAGAGAAGGAAGAGAAGGAAGGGAAAGAAGGGAAGGAAGGGAAGGAAAGGAAGGAAGGAAGGAAGGAAGGAAGGAGGAAGGAAGGAGGAGGAAGAAGAAGGAAGGAAGAAGGAAGGGAAGGAAGGAAGGAAGGAAGGAAGGAAGGAAGGAAGGAAGGAAGGAAGGAAGGAAGGAAGGAAGGAAGGAAGGGGAAAAGGAGGGAAGGAGTCCCAGGTGTGACCCCAGGTGTGACCCCTCCCCTTAAAGCCAGGCTCACCGGAGAGGCCCGGGGGGAAAGGGATGCCCTTCTCCTCTTCCTCCTCTTCCTCTTCCTCCTCGTTTCCTCGCATGGCCTCCTTCCCTCTCTTTCTCTTCCTCCTCCTCCTCTTCCTCACGTTGCGCTGCGGAGGGCGAGGCTGCGAAGATGGCCGCGGAAAACGCCCAGGAAGCTCCCTTTGGGGTTCAGGGGAGGGGGCTCCCCTCTTCTTCTCGACCAGGGAAGGGGGTCCCCAAGCCGGAAGGGAAGGCGCCTTCCTTCCTTTTGCCTTTCCTTCCTCCCTGGCTTCCTTTCCCCCAAAGGAGAGGGATTCTGCCCCAGCCTCCGCGCCTGCGCTGACGTCCAGTCTGGTTGCCTTGGCAACCGCATCCCATCCCGGATTTTTGTTTGTCCTTTTCCGAGGGAAGGAGGGGGACCTGGCCTCCTCTCCCACCCCCCAAAATGGAGATTAGGAGCCCCCCAAAAGGTGTGGGAAGCCCTGCGACAAAAGTCGCATAAAGGTCGCAGCAGGAAAGGGGAGGTGGGAGGTGGGTTGGGGGAGACTCCACGGGATGGGGGTTCATCGCACCCCAAGGCTTGGATTTGGAGAAGTGGGGGGAGACCCAGGATAGACCCCTCGAGTTGGAACGGGACCCCAAGAGGGCATCCAATCCAACCCATGAATCCCAGAATGGGAAAAGACCAGGACCAAGGCAACTAGATAGATGATGGACAGGGAGGTAGATAAGTAAGTAAGTAAGTAAGTAAGGAAGGAAGGAAGGAAGGAAGGAAGGAAGGATCCCAGGGTTGTGAGGGACCCCCAAGGGCCATCCAGTCCATCCTATAAGAGATAGATAGATATTGATAGGGAGATAAATAGATGGAATCCCAGAGTTGGAGGAGACCACAAAGGTCAACCAGTCCAAACCTTAAGATGATTGATAGATAGATAGATAGATAGATAGATAGATAGATAGATAGATAGATAGATAGATAGAGAGAGAGATAGAATCACAGAGTTGGAGGAAACCACAAAGGTCAACCAGTCCAACCCTTAAGATCTAGATAGGAAGAGATAGATATATAGATAGGAAGATGATAGATAGATAGATAGATAGATAGATAGATAGATAGATAGATAGATAGATAGAGATGGAATCCCAGAGTTGGAGGAAACCACAAAGGTCAACCAGTCCAACTCTTAAGATCTAGATAGACAGAGATAGATAGATAGATAGATAGATAGATAGATAGATAGATAGATAGATAGATAGATAGATGGAATCACAGAGTTGGAGGAAACCACAAAGGTCAACCAGTCCAACCCTTAAGATCTAGATAGGAAGAGATAGATATATAGATAGGAAGATGATAGATAGATAGACAGATAGATAGATAGATAGATAGATAGATAGATAGATAGATAGATAGATAGATAGAGATGGAATCCCAGAGTTGGAGGAAACCACAAAGGTCAACCAGTCCAACTCTTAAGATCTAGATAGACAGAGATAGATAGATGATAGATAGATAGATAGATAGATAGATAGATAGATATAGATAGATAGATAGATAGATAGATAGATAGATAGATAGATAGATAGAGAGATAGATGGAATCACAGAGTTGGAGGAAACCACAAAGGTCAACCAGTCCAACCCTTAAGATCTAGATAGGAAGAGATAGATATATAGATAGGAAGATGATAGATAGATAGATAGATAGATAGATAGATAGATAGATAGATAGATAGGTAGAGATGGAATCCCAGAGTTGGAGGAAACCACAAAGGTCAACCAGTCCAACTCTTAAGATCTAGATAGACAGAGATAGATAGATAGATAGATAGATAGATAGATAGATAGACAGGTAGATAGAGATAGATAGATAGATAGGAACTTGAGAGAGAGAGAGAGAGAGAGAGATATGGAATCTCGGAGTTGGAGAGGACCACAAAGGTCATCCAGTCCAACCCTTAAGATCTAGATAGATAAATAGATAGATAGATAGATAGATGGCTATATAGATAGGAAGATGATAGGTAGGTAGGTAGGTAGGTAGGTAGGTAGATAGAGATAGATAGATAGATAGATAGATAGATAGATAGATAGATAGATAGAGAGATGGAATCCCAGAGTTGGAGGAGACCACAAAGGTCATCCAGTACAACCCTTGACATCTAGATATAGATAGACAGATGATAGGTAGATAGGTAGAGACAGACAGAGAGCTTCCTAGAGTTGGAAGAGACTGCAAGGGCCATACAGTCCATCCTATAAGAAATAAATACATATATAGATATATAGAGATAGATACAGGTAGGTAGGTAGGTAGGTAGGTAGAGATAGGAAGATGGAATCCCAGAGTTGGAGGGGACCACAAAGGTCATCCAGTCCAACCCTTAAGATCTAGATAGATAGATAGGTAGATAGATGGATATATAGATAGGAAGATGATAGGTAGATAGGTAGGTAGGTAAAGATAGATAGCGATGGAATCCCAGAGTTGGAGGAGGCCACAAAGGTCATCCAGTCCAACCCTTAAGATCTAGATAGATAGATAGGTAGATAGATGGATATATAGATAGGAAGATGATAGGTAGATAGGTAGGTAAAGATAGATAGAGATGGAATCTCAGAGTTGGAGGAGACCACAAAGGTCATCCAGTCCAACCCTTAAGATCTAGATAGATAGATAGGAAGATGATAGATAGATAGATAGATAGATAGATAGATAGATAGATAGATAGATAGATATGGAATCCCAGAGTTGGAGGGGTCACAAAGATCATCCATTCCAACCCTTAAGATCGAGTTAGGTAGAGATAGATATATAGATAGGAAGATGATATATAGATAGGTAGATAGGTAGAGAGAGAGCGAGAGAGAGAGGGATGGAATCCCAGAGTTGGAGGGGACCACAAAGGTCATCCAGTCCAACCCTTAACATCTAGATAGATAGATGGATATATAGATAGGAAGATGATAGATAGGTAGGTAGGTAGATATAGATAGAGATGGAATCCCAGAGTTGGAGAGGCCACAAAGGTCATCCAGTCCAACCCTTAAGATCTAGATAGATAGATAGGTAGATAGATGGATATATAGATAGGAAGATGATAGGTAGGTAGGTAGGTAGGTAGAGATAGATAGAGATGGAATCCCAGAGTTGGAGGAGACCACAAAGGTCATCCAGTCCAACCCTTAAGATCTAGATAGATAGATAGGTAGATAGATGGATATATAGATAGGAAGATGATAGGTAGGTAGGTAGGTAGAGATAGATAGAGATGGAATCCCAGAGTTGGAGGAGACCACAAAGGTCATCCAGTCCAACCCTTAAGATCTAGATAGATAGATAGATAGGAAGATGATAGATAGATAGATAGATAGATAGATAGATAGATAGATAGATATGGAATCCCAGAGTTGGAGGGGTCACAAAGATCATCCATTCCAACCCTTAAGATCGAGTTAGGTAGAGATATATAGATAGGAAGATGATATATAGATAGGTAGATAGGTAGAGAGAGAGCGAGAGAGAGAGGGATGGAATCCCAGAGTTGGAGGGGACCACAAAGGTCATCCAGTCCAACCCTTAACATCTAGATAGATAGATGGATATATAGATAGGAAGATGATAGATAGGTAGGTAGGTAGATATAGAGATGGAATCCCAGAGTTGGAGAGGACCACAAAGGTCATCCAGTCCAACCCTTAACATCTAGATAGATAGATGGATATATAGATAGGAAGATGATAGATAGGTAGGTAGGTAGATATAGATAGAGATGGAATCCCAGAGTTGGAGAGGACCACAAAGGTCATCCAGTCCAACCCTTAAGATCTAGATAGATAGATAGGTAGATAGATGGATATATAGATAGGAAGATGATAGGTAGGTAGGTAGGTAGAGATAGATAGAGATGGAATCCCAGAGTTGGAGGAGACCACAAAGGTCATCCAGTCCAACCCTTAAGATCTAGATAGATAGATAGGAGGATGATAGATAGGTAGGTAGACAGACAGGTAGATTCTTAAGAGTTAGAAGGGAGTCCAAGGGCCATACAGTCCATCCTATAAGATAGGTAGATAGATAGTAAGATAGGTAGGTAGGTAGGTAGAAATGGGAAGATAGTTGGAATTCCAGAGTTGGAAGGGACCCCAAAGGTCATGCAGTCCAACCCTTAAGAGATAGATAGATAGATAGATAGATAGATAGATAGATAGATAGATAGATAGATTCCTTGAGTTGGAAGAGACTCCAAGGGCCATACAGTCCATCCTATAAGAGGTAAATAGATATATAGATATAGATAGAAACGTAGGTAGGTAGGTAGGTAGAGATAGGAAGATGGAATTCCAGAGTTGGAAGGAAACCCAAAGGTCATGCAGTCCGGGTTGGAGTGGGTTTCCAACCAATTGTGTGTAGCCTGTTGTCGACCTTTGCAACCCGAAAGACAGTTGCATCTGTCAAGTAGGAAAATAAGGTACCACTTTAAAGTGTGGGGAGGCTAAATTGACTAATTTATGAGGCCATAAAGACTTCAGCAAAAGCATGCGGGGAATGCGGAAGTGCTTCATCAGTGTCGCAGATGGACGAGGAAAGCGACAGCTCCCCTGGCGGCCAGAAAAAGTTAAATAGCCTCTGTGTATGTCTGTATACGTTGTATGTCAAAATTGGCATTGAATGTTTGCCATATATGTGTACACTGTAATCCGCCTTGAGTCCCCAGCGGGGTGAGAATGGCGGAATATAAAAGCTGTAAATAAATAAATAAACAAACAAATATTTGTCTATCAGTCTATCCATCCATCTTATCTATGCACCTATCTAACCATCTATCTTGCCATATATTTGTCTGTCTATCCATCCATCCTTCTATTTCTCTTGCCATCTATTTGTATATCTATCTTGCTATCAATCTTGCTATCTATCTATCCATCCATCTGTAGATCTATCTTGCTATCAATCCATCAATCATGCCATTTGTCTGTCTGTCCATCCATCCATTTGTATATCTATCTTGCTATCAATCTATGCATCTATCCATCCATCATGCCATTTGTCTGTCTGTCTATCCATCCATCCACCCATCAATCTATTTATTTATTTATCCATCCATCCATTTTTTGCCATCTATTTGTATATCTATCTCACTATCAATCAATCAATCCATCTTATCTATGCATCTATCTATCCACCCATCAATTTATCCATCAATTTATCTTGCAATCTATCTATCTATCTATCTATCTATCTATCTATCTATCTATCTATCTATCTATCTATCCATCCATCCATCCACCCATCCATCCATCATGCCATTTGTCTGTCTGTCTACCCATCCATCCATTTATACATCTATCCATTTTTCTTGCCATCTATTTGTATATCTATCTTGCTATCAATCAATCCATCCATCTTATCTATGCAGCTATCCACCTATCAATCTATCTATCCATCCATTTATCTTGCAATCTATCTATCTATCTATCATCTATCTTATCTATGCATCTATCTATCCACCCATCCATCATGCCATTTGTCTGTCTATCTATCCATCCATCAATCTATTATCCATCCATCCATTTTTCTTGCCATCTATTTGTATATCTATCTCACTATCAATCAATCATTCTTATCTATCCACCCATCTATCCATCCATTTATCTTGCAATCTATCATCTATCTTATCTATGCATCTATCCACCCATCCATCATGCCATTTGTCTATCTATCCATCCATCAATCTATTATCCATCCATCCATTTTTCTTGCCATCTATTTGTATATCTATCTCACTATCAATCAATCCATCTTATCTATCCACCCATCTATCCATCAATTTATCTTGCAATCTATCTATCTATCTATCTATCTATCTATCTATCTATCTATCTATCCACCCATCCATCATGCCATTTGTCTGTCTGTCTGTCTGTCTATCTATCTATCCATCTATTTATACATCCATCCATTTTTCTTGCCATCTATTTGTATATCTTACTATCAATCCATCCATCTATCTATGCATCTATCCATCCATCCATTTATACATCCATCCATTTTTCTTGCAATCTATCTATTTTGCAATCTATCAATCTTGCTATCTATCTATCTATCTATCTATCTATCTATCTATCTATCTATCTATCTATCTATCTATCTATCTATCTATTCTATGCATCTATCTATCCACCCATCCATCATGCCATTTGTCTATCTATCCATCCATCAATCTATTTATCCTTCCATCCATTTTTCTTGCCATCTATTTGTATATCTATCTCACTATCAATCAATCAATCCATCTTATCTATGTATCTATCTATCCACCCATCAATTTATCTTGAAATCTATCTATCTATCCACCCATCCATCATGCCATTTGTCTGTCTATCTATCCATCAATCTATTTATCCATCCATCCATTTTTCTTGCCATCTATTTGTATACCTATCTTACTATCAATTCATCCATCCATCCATCTTATCTATGCATCTATCCACCTATCAATCTATCTATCCATCCATTTATCTTGCTATCTATCTATCCATCCACCTATCCCTCCATCATGCCATTTGTCTGTCTGTTTATCCATCCATCCATCCATCTTGCTATCTATATCTATGCATCTATCTATCTATCTATCTATCTATCTATCTATCTACCTACCTACCTATCCATCCATCATACCATTTGTCTGTCTGTCTATCCATCCATCAATCTATTTATCCATCCATCCATTTTTCTTGCCATCTATTTGTATATCTATCTCACTATCAATCAATCAATCCATCTTATCTATGCATCTATCCATCCATCCATCTATCCACCTATCCATCCATCATGCCATTTGTCTGTCTGTCTATCCATCCATCCATTTATCCATCCATCCATTTTTCTTGCCATCTATTTGTATATCTACCTTACTATCAATCAATCCATCAATCTATCTTATCTATCTACCCATCTATCTATCCATCCATCCAGCTATCTATCATATCTATGCATCTATCTATCCACCTATCCATCCATCATGCCATTTGTCTGTCTATCCATCCATCCATTTTTCTTGCCATCTATTTGTATATCTATGTTACTATCTATCTATCCATCCATCCATCTTATCAATGCATCTATCCACCCATCTATCTATCTATCCATACACTTATCTATTTATCTTGCAATCTATTTGTCTGTCTGTCTATCTATCTATCTCTCTCTCCATCCATCCATCTTGCTATCTATCTTATCGATCTATGCATCCATCTTGCTTTCTCTCTTTTCTATCTATCCATCCATCCATCCATCTTGCTATCTATTTTATCTATGCATTCATCCATCTTGCTATCTATCTTATCTATCTATGCATCCATCCATCCACATACACACTTAAAAAAAGAGAAACACTTATCTATGGCTATCCTTTTCTCGGCCACTAGGTGGCAGCATCCTCCCCTTTGAAACCATTGTAAAGACACACCTGAGAAAACCAAGATTGCAACCGTCATTGGCGCATTTTATTGAAGGAAAATGTACAAAATCTCCCTAGATCCTTTTGGTTTTTTTTGGGGGGGATACGCTGCTCAATCTTCCTCCTCCTCCTCTTCCTCGTCCTGGTTGATCTGGAAGTAGCGCAACTCGTAGCTCTCCTTGCTGTTGGCCACCACGCGCAGCCAGTCACGCAGGTTGTTCTTCTTCAGGTACTTCTTGGTCAGGTACTTCAGGTACCTGAGGAGACAGGTGACAAGGGGATAGAGGAACTTTTACTGTCGCTATCCATTGTATGACGGAATTAAGTGCCACCCCCAATATGTGTTTATATATATATGTACAATTACAAAACAAAGCAGCTATCCTTCCACATTCATCGCAATTGCACAATCCCATAGATAGATAGATAGATAGATAGATAGATAGATAAATAGATAGATAAATAGATAGATAGATAGATAGATAGATAGATAGATAGAGAGAGACATGGGTGAAGGGATAGAGAAAGAGAGAAATGTATTGGTAAGTACATGAAGGTTATATAATATAATATTTTAATATCAAGAATAGTATAATTGCATATAAAATTATAATATAAATAATAATTAAATATATTTATAAGCATATAAAACAATAGTATAATTACATATAAGTATATATGATAACAATATATTAATAGTATATATGCATATAAGTATATAAAATAAAAATAAAATATAATATTATACTAATATAATCGCATAAGTATATATAATACAATATAAATGATAGTATAATTGCATATAAAAATTATAATATAAATAATAATGACATATAATTATAAGCATATAAAACAATAATAGTACAATTATATATAAGTATATATTAATTAAAATAATAATGACATAATTATAAGCATATAAAACAATAATAGTACAACTACATATAAGTATATATGATAACAATATAATATCAATAGTATATTTGCATATAAGTATATAAAATAAAAATAATATAAAATTATACTAGTATAATTGCATAAGTATATATAATAATATAAATAATAGTATAATTGCATATAAAATTATAATAAACATAATAATTACATATAATTATAAGCATATAAAATAACAGTATAATTATATATATGATAACAATATAATATTAATAGTATATTTGCATATAAGTATATAAAATAAAAATAATATAAAATTATACTAGTATAATTGCATAAGTATATATAATAAAATATCAATAATAGTATAATTGTATATAAAAATATAATATAAATAATTACATATAATTATAAGCATATAAAACAATAAAAGTATATATAATACAATATCAATAATAGTATAATTGCATATAAAATTATAATATAAATAATGACATATAATTATAAGCATATAAAAGAATAATAGTATAATTACATATAAGTATATAAGTATAATAGTATTGTACAGAAGTGTTTATAATAATATGCTTATAACTGTATTTATGTTTGTATTGGTTGCCCTTAGGCTGGAGCGGCCTAGCTGTTAGGAATGTGTTACCATGGAAACGAGGCAGAAGAGGAGGTGGGAGGAGCTTAGAGAGTTAAGGTTTTTGAAAAGTGACAGTTAGTGTCAGTCAGGGTTTTAGGCTCAGGGAAGAGCAGGTCAGGATTGAGACTCTGAGAAGTGAAGAGTCAGGTTTCAGTGTTCGTGAATAGTAGAGATTTCTTCAGTTAGGAAGCTGAAGGGGAAAACCTTGTTAGTTGCTTTAGTTAGAAAGAACTAACAGAGGCTTGTTAAGATCGCTAGTCGGGAGAAGACTAGAGATCTGTTGTTTGATCAAGGATAGATCAAACAGGGAGACTATTCACTGCAGGGAACACTGGTTAATAAAGTGCTTCACCACAGCAAGAGTTCATAAGTTGTAACATCGAAAGTCTGAATTGTATCGCAACCAAGTTACATGTAACCTTCAATTATTTGCCAAGCTTAACATCATCATACTGCAACCATACGCTTTGTTTAAAAATAAACTTGTTCTCTTTAGTTTTTGAAACTGCCTCATCTCCATTAATTCTTCGTTCGTGTACCCAATCTCCCAAAATTACCTCACAACACAAACAGGGTGGCATCCAGTGGTATTAATACCAGAGCCTTTTACAAATCGGTGGCTCCTCTCTCCTAAACCTAAGGGTCTTCCTCACTAATTGGTGGCGATCTTTTACCACCTGGTAGCCGTCTCTTTACAATTTGGTGGCAGACGACGGGATTCGTTTAACAACTGATCAAGTGCCTTAAGATTATTTTAAGAATAAGTTGTGAGGTAAAAGTTATTGGAATATGGCTACCAGGCGACAGAAAAAGCTTGTTGAGGAAACAAAGGGAGAGAGAACTGGAGAAAGAGGCAAAACAAAGAGAGAGAGAACTTGAGATGGAGAAAGAGGCAAAACAAAGAGAATTTGAAGAAAGGCAAAAAGAGAGAGAACAGGAGTTAGAATTGAAGAGAATGGAATTTGAGCTGCAGAAGCAAAGATTGGCTTTGTCTCAAACATCCAGTGACATCCAGGAAGGGAGATCTGGAGTGGATGCCCCAGATATGATAAAGAGATTCCCTAAATTTACCAAGGATGATGATGTAGAGAAATTTTTGATCTCATTCGAGAGATGTTGTAAAGATTTTGGGGTTGCTAAGGAAAAATGGATGATATATCTAAGGCCACAGATAAGTGGAAGACTTTTACAGATTTATGGAGATTTGCCTGAGGGGTCTTATGGAGATTATGATTTATTTAAGAAACAAATTCTACAAGAGTTTCGATTAACTCCTGAATTCTACAGATTTAAGTTCAGGACCCTAAAAAGAGATAAAAACCAAAGTTTTGCTCAGGTGGCCTCTAAATTGTCTCAACTGTTCGATAGTTGGCTAAGGACGTCTGAGGTGGAAAATTACCAACAGCTGAGAGAACTTTTAAAGTTGGAACAATTTTTTCAATTAGTGCCTTATGATATTCTCTGGGTGATTCAGGATCGCAAACCATCCACTATAGTAGAGGCAGCGGTTATGGTAGATCAAATAATAACCCTAAAAGAAGGATTCAAAAGGGAAGATCTGCCAAGTGATAAAAGAACAAACAGGCAGCCATTTTACCAACAACAAACGCGCCCACAGCAAGAAAAAGGTTCTGACATAGAAAACACCGCCTGGAGGAGGCAGGGCGTAACAAGTCAAACTGCTCCTGAGGGAAAAAGAAGGTGTTTTCAGTGTGGAAAGTGGGACCATATAAAGTATCAATGTCCCCTTTTAAGAAAAGAGAAAACAACCCTCTTTGTGAATAAAGTAAAAGAAACAAAAAAGGCAGATACTGTGTCAAAGGAGAGTTCAGAAACAGAGCCTCAAGAGAAACAGTGTTTGTTCATCTTGTCAAACACCCCATCTGAGGATTACTTAGAATCCATTTCCATTGACAACAAAGACATGAAAGGACTTCGAGATACAGGGTCCGAAGTATGTCTTGTACATCCAGAAATAATACCTCAGAAATTTCAGCGGCCTACCTCTGAAATAAGATTAAAAGGTTTGGGACCTGCAATACCAACAGCAGTGGTGACTTTGCCAATAGAATATGGAGGATGGAAGGGTATGTGGGATTTTGCAGTCAGTCCTGACATACCATACAGATGTTTAATTGGAAATGATCTAGCTAAGAAGATTGAAAACTGGAGGATGACGTGTGAGGAGGAAGAATATAACAACAAAAGCCCTGATCAAAAAGCCATGTGTCTCGCCATACAACAGGATGGGGATGAGAGTCCGGAATCCAGCGCTACGGTTGCTGAGCTTGTTAAGAAGACGGGAGGAGTTGGAGAAATTCGGCAGGAACAAGGAGCCGATGAATCTCTAAAACCTCTGTTCGTTTTGGCTCAAAACCCCACAGTATCGGCAAAAGGACAGCCCTCCGAGTTTGTGTTAAAGAATGGTGTCTTATATAGAGAAACCAGAAATGTGAAGTCAGCAGAAGGATCAGTGATATGTAATCAAATTGTAGTGCCTCAAAGTTTTAGAGAACAGCTGATGAGGGTGGCACACGAGAACCCTCAAGGTGGACATCTGGGTGTGAGGAAAACCACAAAGAGAATCAATAAGAACTTTTATTGGCCTGGCATGTTCCAGAAGATCAAAGAGTTTTGCCAGTCTTGTGATATCTGCCAAAGATTGAGTACTGGAAGGGATAAAATTAAAGCTCCTATGATCCCTATGCCGATAATTGGAGAACCATTTTACAGAGTGGGCATTGACATAGTGGGTCCTCTTTGTAAGCCAAGCAGACGTGGTTACAGATACATTTTAACCATGATTGACTACGCCACAAGATATCCAGAGGCTGTAGCTCTAACTAACATTGAGACAACAACGATTGCAAATGCACTGTTATCCATTTGGGGAAGAACTGGTTATCCTAGAGAATTGGTTTCTGATTTGGGAACTCAATTTACTTCCAGACTTATGTCAAAATTGCTTGAGTTATGTGGAATCAGACACCTGACTTCAACAGCTTATCACCCACAGACAAATGGACTAGTTGAAAATCTGAACAAGACTTTAGTCAAAATGATAAAGTCTTACAGTCAAAAGAAGCCATACGACTGGGACGTCAAACTGCAACAACTGTTATTCGCCTACAGGACCGTCCCTCATGACAGTACTGGCTACAGTCCATTTGAATTGCTATATGGAAGGAAAGCTCGTGGTCCATTAGACCTGATAAAGGAATATTGGGAGGAAAATCCAGCAACAGATCCAGTTCCAGTGTCGGAGTATTTAAAGGATCTTCAATCAACAATGCAACTGGCTAGGGACATTGCACAGGAACATTTGCTTGCGGCTCAGCAGAGACAAAAAGACTATTATGATTCTACTGCTAAGCCAAAGATCTTCAACATCGGAGATGAAGTTTTATTTTTATCTCCCAACAAAACCAACAAACTTCAATTGGATTGGTCGGGACCCTGGAAGATCACCAGGAAGCACAGCCAAATAAACTATGATATTTATGATGAACATTCAAATGTAGAAAGAAGAGTTCATGTAAACATGTTAAAGCCTTATGTTGGAAGGTCTGCTAATGTATATTTTGTTGTTTCGGAAGAAGAATCCGGTCCCTTTTCTTTTTGGGAGGGTGATCGTGAACAGTACAAAAATTTGGATCGAGTAGAAATAAACATAGAATTGTCCCAACCACAGCGGAGGGAGGTTGTGGAAGTTTTGAGTAAATATAAAGACATATTTTCAGATTTACCAGGAAAGGTCCAGGGAGTCCAGCATCAAATAAACACCGGTGATGCAGCTCCTATAGTATCTCCACCCTACAGGGTCACGGGGAGAATTAATGAATGTATTGAAAGGGAGATTAAAGAAATGTTGGACCTAGGTATCATTGTTCCATCTTTTAGTGATTTGGCAGCTCCTCTTTCGGATCTTACCAAAAAGAAGAACCCGAACCAAGTAATTTGGACTCCAAATTGTCAAACTGCCATGGATCAATTGAAGAAATCCATTACGTCGGATTCTGTCCTAATGGCGCCAGATTTTGATAAACCTTTTATTCTAACATGTGATGCATCAGATACTGGGCTAGGAGCTGTCCTAAGCCAGTTAGATGTAGAGGGTGAGGACAGACCTATTTTGTTTTTGAGTAAAAAATGGCACTCTAATGAATATAGTATGTCAACAATTGAAAAAGAATGCTATGCCATCATCTGGTCAGTTAAAAAACTATATTTGTGGGGGAGAAAGTTTACCTTACAAACGGACCATGCTCCATTAAGATGGCTAGATAATGTGAAAGGTACGAATAACAAATTGTTGAGATGGAGTTTATGTTTACAGGATTTTACATTTGAAATTAAACATGTTTCAGGTAAACGAAACATAGTTGCAGACGCCTTATCTAGAATTTCGTAAGGTTAAAGGTTTGTATGTATGTATAAATTGTAATGTATTTAACCATAATATGTTTGCCTTTCAGAAATGTTGTGTATTTATATATTGTTGGATAATATGTGGAATTATTTTTGCCATTCCGGGATTGAGAATGGTCCAAAAATAATTTTTTCTGAGGGGGAAGGTGTACAGAAGTGTTTATAATAATATGCTTATAACTGTATTTATGTTTGCATTGGTTGCCCTTAGGCTGGAGCGGCCTAGCTGTTAGGAATGTGTTACCATGGAAACGAGGCAGAAGAGGAGGTGGGAGGAGCTTAGAGAGTTAAGGTTTTTGAAAAGTGACAGTTAGAGTCAGTCAGGGTTTTAGGCTCAGGGAAGAGCAGGTCAGGATTGAGACTCTGAGAAGTGAAGAGTCAGGTTTCAGTGTTCGTGAATAGTAGAGATTTCTTCAGTTAGGAAGCTGAAGGGGAAAACCTTGTTAGTTGCTTTAGTTAGAAAGAACTAACAGAGGCTTGTTAAGATCGCTAGTCGGGAGAAGACTAGAGATCTGTTGTTTGATCAAGGATAGATCAAACAGGGAGACTATTCACTGCAGGGAACACTGGTTAATAAAGTGCTTCACCACAGCAAGAGTTCATAAGTTGTAACACCGAAAGTCTGAATTGTATCGCAACCAAGTTACATGTAACCTTCAATTATTTGCCAAGCTTAACATCATCATACTGCAACCATACGCTTTGTTTAAAAATAAACTTGTTCTCTTTAGTTTTTGAAACTGCCTCATCTCCATTAATTCTACGTTCGTGTACCCAATCTCCCAAAATTACCTCATAACACAAACAGGGTGGCATCCAGTGGTATTAATACCAGAGCCTTTTACAAATCGGTGGCTCCTCTCTCCTAAACCTAAGGGTCTTCCTCACTAATTGGTGGCGATCTTTTACCACCTGGTAGCCGTTTCGTTACAAGTATATTTGCGTATAAGTATATAAAATAAAAATAATATAAAATTATATTAGTATAATTGCATAAGTATATATAATACAATATAAATAAATATTTATACTATAAAAATTATAATATAAATAATAATTACATATAATTATAAGCATATGAAACAATAATAGTACAATTACAGATAAGTATATATTATAATATAATATTATTAGTGTATTTGCATGTAAGTATATAAAATAAAAATAATATAAAATTATACTACTATAATTGCATAAGTATATATAATAAAATATCAATAATAGTATAATTGTATATAAAAATATAATATAAATAATTACATATAATTATAAGCATATAAAGTAATAATAGTGTAATTACATATATGTAATAATATAATACTAATACTATATTTGCATATAAGTATATAAAATAAAAATATAAAATTATACTAGTATAATCGCATATGTATATATATAATATAATATCAATAATAGTATAATTGCATATAAGTATATAACATAATATTAACTATAATAACAGCAATAATTATTAAATATATAAAATAAAAATAATACTAGTATAATTGCATAAGTATATATAATAATATAATATCAATAATAGTATAATTGCATATAAGTATATAACATAATAATATTAACTATAATAATGGCACAACGAAACGGGAATAACACTTGCAAACCAGGATCGGAATATTTTCCGAATTTGGGGACACCTCACCTTTTGGAGAAGGGGACCTCGGAGGTGACGGTGATCTTGCTCTTGCTCCTCTCGATGGTCACGACGCCCCCGCCCAGGTTCCCAGCTTTCCCGTTGACTTTGATGCGCTCCTGAAGGAACTGTTCCTGAGGGGGAAAAGAAGAAAAGGGGATATTATTATTATTATTAATAGTATTATTATTATATTAGTTATATACAGGCCATCCCCGAGTTGCAAATGACTCACAGATAAGAACAATGGGGCTGAGATAACAGGAAGTGGGAGGAATCTTTTATTATATACTAGCTTTGGGACCCGGCGCTGCCCGTGTTATTTGAGAAAGGAATTGTGTGCCAAGGTTGATCTTTATCAGTTATTTATGTGGCTCGCAGTGCTCTCAGGAAGTTAGTGAAGGTAATGCGAGTCCCGTCGTCCATGATCCATCGTCCTCCAAACACCCCCAGGATGTAGAGTGGGTCATGGGGGCTCTGTGTGCCAAGTTTGGTCTTGATCAATCACTGGATGAGGGTTGCAGCGGTCTTGGGAAGTGAGTGAAGGTACTTCAAGTCCCATCGTCCATGGTGCATCCTCTTCCAAACTGCACCAGGATTTAGAGTGCATCATGGAGACTCAGTGTGCCAAGTTTGGTCTTTATCGGTAATTGGATGAGGGTTGCAGTGGTCTCAAGAACTGAGCAAAGGTACTGCAAGTCCCATAATCCATGGTCCATCCATGGCCAAACCACACCAGGACGTAAAGTGGGTCATGAGAGGTCTATGTGCCAAGTATGGTCCTGATCTGTCATTGGATGAGATTAACAGCGGTCTCAGAATGTGAGTGATGGTACTGCAAGTCCCATCATCCATGGTTCATCCTCCTCCAAACTGCAGTAGGATGTAGAGTGGGTCATGGGGGCTCTGTGTGCCAAGTTTGGTCTGTATTGGTAATTTTCTGAGAGTCCCTGGCCTTTTCCTTTCCTCTCTTTGTCATCTCGGAATCTTGGAATTGAGGCTGGCCAATCAGAGACCATATGCAAATTTCCTTCTCTCATGTCTCCGTTTCTGTCATGAACCCTTTTCTCCACCAGGGGCTCTTGTTGAAGTTGGCCAATCAGAGACCATATGCAAATAGCACCACAGTGGCAGCCAATCAGAACGCTGGCACATACCCGGTCGCACCGCCGCATACAAACTTTGACTTTTATTATATGTATAGACATAGATAGATTATTAATATAAATGTATCATATTTATTTATTAGGCCTGTGCGATTTCGTTCGTTAATTCGTTATTAATTCGTTATTTTTGGCATTTCCGAAGCGATATTGAAGCACTTTTTCAAACCCGGAAGGGTTTAAAAATAACGAGGCGGCAACCCCATAGATTTTACGAGCTTCCGCCCGTTTCGTTATTGGGGTGCAGGCTGCTGGTGCCTGGGAGCCAATCCGGCGCACCCAAGCAGTGCACCATGGGTCCGTGGCTGTCCCTTTTTGATTGGCCGGCGAGCCCTTTCAAAGCGGCTCCGCGCGGCCCGTAGCTTGCTGCAGAGGGCGAGGGAGTTTGCATTGGGTTGGCTTGGCTGCTAGCAACTGGGATTGGATTCATTCCTTGCTGCTGTGAGTGCTGCTTGCTTCATTTGCTGTCTCCTGCCTGTGTTTGGTCCACATTTGGGCCATTTTTTGGTTAATTTTCCATTTTAAAATATTTTTTAGTATTATTTTTAATATTATTTTTTAATATTATTTTTAATATTATTTTTTAGTATTATTTTTTAGTATTATTTTTTAATATTATTCTTAAAAAATATTCTAAAAAAGAAAAGACTCTTCTGTTGGTGTGTGCTCTCATTTGCTATATCCTGCCTGTGTTTGGTCCACATTTGGGCCATTTTTTGGTTAATTTTCCATTTTAAAATATTTTTTAATATTATTTTAATATTATTCTTAAGAAATACAAAAAATATTCTAAAAATTCGTTAATATTTACAAAATTTCTTAAATACCAAAACTTTTTTGGGGGAAAGTTTTGTAATTATTTTAAATATCGAAACAAAAAAACACCCCAATTACAAATCGATTTTAGAAACAAATTTTTTCTTGATCAAACAGGCCTATTATTTATCTATTTATTTACGACCTTTATATGTCGCCCTTCTCAGAGAGGCTTACAAGATATACACATACAATATATATTATTAGCATAGTACAATATCAGTATTAAATATTTGTCAGGAATCGATTTCTGATGGCATGAAGACATCACAAATTCCCTCCGCGACATCCTGACTGAATCATCCTGGCTGCCTCAATTCTCTCTCTGTGAACTTTTGAAGCCAGCAGAGGACACTGGAAACCTTGTATTGAAATTTGTGAAGCAACAAGTACTAATAAGGAAACTGAGAAGAGGAGGAGATGGGCAGGAAAGGTGTATAAAAGGAAGTGGTGGTGGGAAGAAGTCAGTAGTGTCTTTCTTTGCTGCAGAGATACAAGCAATCTATCCATTTCAAAGCAAAACAGCTTGTGAGTGGTTATTTAATATTGCTATCTAGATCCTACAGTCTTACAATATTACTATATCGTACTATACCATTATATTGTAATATTAGTTATGTTTTTATATCGTTTTATTTGCTTGTTTGCTCTGTTGATGTATTGTATCTGTTGTATTTGTTGATGTATCTGTTGCATTTGTATTTGACGGGCTTGGCCTCATGTAAGCCACCCTGAGTCCCTTCGGGGAGATGGTGGCGGGGTATAAATAAAGTTTTTTTATTATTCATATTGCATGTAATATCCATATAAATAAAAATGTAATGTTCGTTTGTGGGATTAACAGAACTCAAAAATCACTGGACGAACTGACACCAAATTTGGACACAAGACACCTCTCAGGCCAACGAGTAACCATCACTCATAAAAACACTGAAAAACACAGCAGAAGGGACTTAAGAAGCCAAAAAACCCCGAAAATACATCACAACGCACGCGCAAAACCACATATATATACACAAACACATATATACACACATATATGCATATTCACACACAAAACACATACACAGAAAGGAGAGAAGGAAGGAAAGAAAGAAGGAAGGAGAGACGAAGGGAAAGAAGGAGGGAAGGAGAGAAAGAAGGAAAGAAAGAAAGGTAGAGAAGGAAGGAGGGAGAGAAAAAGGGAAAGAAGGAGGGAAGGAGAGAAGGAAGGAAAGAAAGAAGGGTAGAGAAGGAAGGAGAGAAGGAGATAAAGAAGGAAAAAAGGTTAGAGAAGGAAAGGAGAGGGAGAAAGAGGGAAAGAAGGAGGGAAGGAGAGAAAGGAAAAAAAGGAGAGAAGGAAGGAAGAAGGAGAAGAAATGAGGGAAAGAGGGAAGAGGGAAAGAAAGGAGGGAAGGAAAGAAAGAAAGAAAAATGGTAGAGAAGGAAGGAGGGAGAGAAAGAGGGAAGGAGAGAAGGAAGGAAAGAAAGAAGGGTAGGGAAGGAAAGAAGGAGGAGGGAAAGAAGGAGGGAAGAAGATAGAGAAGGAAAAGAGAAAAGAAGGGTAGAGAAGGAAGGAGAGAGAAAGAGGGAAGGAGAAAAGGAAGGAAAGAAAGAAGGGTAGAGAAGGAAGGAATGAAGAGAGAAAAGAGAAAGAAAGAAGGGTAGAGAAGGAAGGAGAGGGAGAAAGAGGGAAAAAAGGGGGGAAGGAGAGAAGGAAAGAAAAGAAGAGAAGGAAGGAGAGAAGGAGGGAGAGAAAGAGGGAAAGAAGAAGGGAAGGAAGGAAAGAAAAAAAGAAGGGTAGAGAAGGAAGGAGGGAGAGAAAGAGGGAAGGAGAGAAGGAAGGAAAGAAGGGTAGGGAAGGAAGGAAGGAGGGAAGGAGATAAAGAAGAAGGATAGAGAAGGAAAGAAAGGAAGAGAAGGAGGGAGAGAAAGAGGGAAAGAAGGAAAGAAAGAAGGGTAGAGAAGGAAGGAAGGGGAGAAGGAGGGAGAGAATGAAATAAAAAAGTGAAAGAGGGAAGGAAGGAGAGATGGAACTAAAGAGAGAAAGACGGAAGGAAGAAGGGAGACAAGGAAGGATGGAACCAAAGAGCAAAGGAAGCGAGAAAAGAAACAGGTAGAGAAGGAAGGAAGAAGGGAAAGAAAAAGAGGGAAGGAAGGAAAGAAAGGAGAGAAAGATGGAGGGAAGGTTGGATATAGCAATGCGTGGTGGATACAGCTAGTAAATATATATATTACTAGTATTATACTGCATTACATTATAATATTATAAATATTCTATGTACATACAATATATTATATTATATTTTATTATTACATCTCTATATAGAAATGGACGGTGAAGCGACAGCTCCCCCGGTGGCTGAAACTCGAAGCATACGCTCACGAAGCTGGAACGTTAAATAGCCTCTGTGTGCCTGTCTACATATATGTTGTGTATCTAATATTTGCCATGTATACGTGCGTTGTGATTCGCTGCAGGGTGAGAAGGGCGGGATATAAATGCTGTAAATAAATAATAAATATATAGATAGATTAGGACACGAGTGACAAGCCGACTCACAAAGTTGGCGGCGTCCATGATGCCGTCCTCGACGGGGTGCGTGCAGTCCAGGGTGAACTTCAAGACCTGTTTCTTCTTCTTGCCGCCTTTCGTCGCCAGCTTCTTCTGCAAGAGCAAAGGGGCGGATGTCCAGCGCAACACTAGGCGCACAATGCGCAACCGCAAAACGCGTCCCTCCCACAGAAACCAAATCTGGGCGGTTTACTCAACTAGTAGTGCTACCTAGCCGTGTTCACACATTCGGACATGCAGTCAGATTCTGCCACATGCATCCACACATTTCCAACACACATTTATTTGTTCCGACATGCCTTCACATTCAAGCACACACTCACACACGAGCCCACACATTCCAAAAATGCAGTATGTTCCCACACGCATTCACACATATAGACACATGTCCACATATTCCAAAACGCAACCATACTTTCAATAAATGCATGTCAGAATGTATGATTGCGTTTTGGAACATGTGGACATTGTATAAAACATGAATTCACGCAGATACGCAGCCACGTGTTCAGGCATGCATTCACACATTCTGACATGCATTCACTTTCAAACATGTATTCACACAGACACGCATTTATAGGTTCTGACATCAACTCTCATTCAAACACGCATTCACACACGTTCCGCTATGCATCACACATACAGACACATGTGCATAGGTTCAGACATGCAATCATATATTCTGACGTGCATTCACATTTAGAAATGCACACTAACATACATTCACACCTTCAGACATGCATCCGCCCTTATGGACATGTATTCATAAATTTTAACATGCATTCACACATTCAGATACACATTCATACGTTCAGACATGTATTCACATTCAAATGTGTATTCACACATAGACACATGACCACACGCTTTGACACGCAATCATAATTCCAACATGTATTCACATTTAAACATGCATCCACACATACAGGCAATCATACATTCTGATATGCATTCACACATACAGACACATGTCCACAGGTTCAGACACACAATCATATATTCTGACATTCCAATATGCATTCACATTTAGAAATGCACATTCACACATACAGACACATGACCACACGCTCCGACACAAAATCATACATCCCAACATCTATTCACATTTAAACATGCATTCACACATACAGGCAATGATATGTTATGACATGCATTCACACATACAGACACATGTCCACATGTTTCCAAAACGCAATCATACTTTCAATAAATGCATGTCAGAATGTATGATTGCGCTTTGGAAATTTGGACATTGTATGTAACATGAATTCACGCAGACATGCATCCACATGTTCAGGCCTGCATTCACACATTCTGACATGCAGTCACTTTCAAACATGCATTCACACAGACACGCATTTATATGTTCTGACATCCATTCACATTCAAACACACATTCACACGCGCCCACACGTTCCACCATGCATTTACATTCAGACATACATTCACACCTTCAGATACATACCCACACTTTCGGACATGTCATATGTTCCAACATGCATTCACATTTAGAAATGCATTCACAGCTACAGACATGCATTTACACCTTCAGACATGCATCCACACTTTTGGACATGTAATCATACTTCCAGCATGCATTCACATTCAAACGTGCATTCACACAGACACATGACCACACGCTCCAACATACAATCATACATTCACATTTAAACACTCATTCACACATACAGACAGACAATAATATATTTTAACATGCATTCACACATACAGACAATGTCCACAGGTTCAGACACGCAATCGTATATTCTGACATTCCAATATGCATTCACATTTAGAAATGTACATTCACACATACAGACACATGACCACAAGCTCTGACACGCAATCATACATTCCAACATCTATTCACATTTAAACACGCATTCACACAGGCACACAAACATATGTCCTGACATGTATTCACTCATACAGACACATGTCCACAGGTTCAGACGCACAATCTGACGCACAATTCACATTTAGAAATACACATTAACACACACACAAGTTCCGACACACAATAATACATCCCGACATGCATTCACATTCAAACATGCATTCACATGTACAGGCACAAAATCATATGTTCCGACATGCATTCACACATACAGACAGGGGTCCATGCATTCAGACATGCAATCATATATTCTGACATGCATTCACATTTAGAAATGCATTCACACATATACACACACATGACCACACGGTCTGACACGCAATCATACATTCCAACATCTATTCACATTTAAACACGCATTCACACATACAGACACATGTCCACAAGTTCAGACACACAATAATATATTCTGACATTCCGATATGCATTCACATTTAGAAATACATTCACACATACACACATTCTGACACAAAATAATACATTCCGACATGTATTAACATTCAAACACGCATTCACATTCAAACACATGTCCAGACATTCAGACACACATCCACACATTCCAACACACAGTTCTGACATGCATTCACATTCAAACGTGTGTCCACACATTCAGACACACATCCACACATTCCAACACACAGTTCTGACAAGCATTCACATTCAAACTTGTGTCCACACATTCAGACATGCATTCACACGTTCCAACATGCACACTTGCAAGTTCTGACCCGCATTCACATTCAAACGCGTGTCCACACATTCCAACACACAGTTCTGATATGCATTCACATTCAAACACATGTCCAGACATTCAGGCACACATCCACACATTCCAACACACAGTTCTGGCACGCATTCACATTCAAACACGTGTCCACACATTCCAACACACAGTTCTGACACGCATTCACATTCAAACACCTGTCCATACGTTCCAACACACACATTTGTAGGTTCTGACTCGCATTCACATTCAAACATGTGTCCACACGTTCCAACACAAACATTTGTAGGTTCTGATGCGCATTCACATTCAAACATGTGTCCACGCATTCAGACACACACCCACACATTCCAACACACAGTTCTGACACGCATTCACATTCAAACGCGTGTCCACACATTCAGACACAGTTCTGACTCGCATTCACATTCAAACACGTGTCCACGCATTCAGACACACACCCACACATTCCAACACACAGTTCTGACACGCATTCACATTCAAATGCGTGTCCACACATTCAGACAGTTCTGACTCGCTTTCACATTCAAACACGTGTCCACACATTCAGACACAGTTCTGACTCGCATTCACATTCAAACACGTGTCCACGCATTCAGACACACACCCACACATTCCAACACACAGTTCTGACACGCATTCACATTCAAACGCGTGTCCACACATTCAGACACACAGTTCTGACTCGCATTCACATTCAAACACGTGTCCACACATTCAGACACACAGTTCTGACTCGCATTCACATTCAAACACGTGTCCACACATTCAGACACACAGTTCTGACTCGCATTCACATTCAAACACGTGTCCACACATTCAGACACACAGTTCTGACTCGCATTCACATTCAAACACGTGTCCACACATTCCGACACACAGTTCTGACTCGCATTCACATTCAAACGCGTGTCCACACATTCCGACACACAGTTCTGACTCGCATTCACATTCAAACATGTGTCCACACATTCAGACACAAAGTTCTGACTCGCATTCACATTCAAACACGTGTCCACACATTCAGACACACAGTTCTGACTTGCATTTACATTCAAACACGTGTCCAGACATTCAGGCACACATCCCAACACACAGTTCTGACACGCATTCACACGTACAGGCACACAATCATATGTTCCGACATGCATTCACGCATACAGAGAGGGGTCCGTGCATTCAGACATGCAATCATATATTCTGACATGCCTTCACATTTAAACACGCATTCACATGTACAGGCACACAATCATATGTTCCGACATGCATTCACGCATACAGACAGGGGTCCGTGCATTCAGACATGCAATCATACATTACGACATGCATCCATTTTCAAACATACATTCACACATAGACACACATCCACACATTCCAACACACAGTCGCATGTTCTGACACGCATTCACATTCAAACGCGTGTCCACATATTCAGACACACCTTCCAACACACAGTTCTGACACGCATTCACATTCAAACACGTGTCCACACGTTCCAACACACACATTTGTAGGTCCTGACTCGCATTCACACTCAAACATGTGTCCACGCATTCAGACACACACCCACACATTCCAACACACACTTTTGCAGGTTCTGGCATGCATTCATATTCAAACACGTGTCCAGACATTCAGACACACATCCCAACACAGTTCTGACACGCATTCACATTCAAACACGTGTCCACGCATTCAGACGCATCTAGACGTTCAGACACGCGTCCAGGCGTCCCAAGAGAGAGACCCAGAGTGCAGGCCACTCTCTCTGCGCATGCGCAGTGGCCCTTTCCGTGAGGGACTCGCACATGGCCCAGTTTGGAAGGGAAATCCACTCGGAAGGCGCTCAGGGTGAGATTCCCGGCCGGAAAAGGCCTTCCCCGGGCGGCGTGGGGCCTCCCGCTCCCCTCCCGAGGCCTCTGGGCCTTCCACGCCGCCTTTCCCGGCCTCAGACTCACCGCGGGCGCCATGGCGGCAGGAGCAGCGAAGAGAGAAAGGAAGGGCGGCACTGCGCAGGCGCAAAAAGAGGCCCCGCCTCCCCGCGCAGGCGCAGACTCCAACTGGAGAACGCCGCGGACCCTCCCTCCCCTTGCCGCGCGGGGCACGCCGGGAGACGTAGTCCTTGCCCAGCGCTTCGCCTGAGTCACTCAACGAGGAGCGGGACGCCGCTGGACTACAACTCCCATCTACTTTGACTTGCTCACTCTATTTCTATGTATATCTCATCTTGAAGGCTCTGAATGGGTGTGCTCTCTGGCTGCAGGGTGGACTACAACTCCCACCATGGTGAGCCAGTCCCCTCAAACCCCTCCAGTCGGTTGAGTTGGTCGTGTGCCAAAGTAGGTAGCCCTAGGCCCATCATCTTCATTTCCCCTGGTTGTGGGTGAACTACAACTTCCAGAAAGGGAGGGCTGCTGCGACCCTCATCCAATGACTGATCAAGACCAAACTTGGCACACAGAGACCCCATGACCCATTTAACATCCTGGTGCAGTTTGGAGGAGGGTGGAACATGGATGATGGGACTTGAAGTACCTTCACTCACTTCCCGAGACTGCTGCGACCCTCATCCAATGACTGATCAAGACCAAACTTGGCACACAGAGCCCCCATGACCCAATTAACATCCAGGTGCAGTTTCGAAGAGAACGGACCATGGATGATGGGACTTGCAGTACCTTCACTCACTTCCTGTAACCACAGAGACACTCATTCAGTTGGCAATAAAGACCAAACTTGGCACAGAGAGCCCCCATGGCCAACTCAACATTCTGGTGCGGTTTGAGGAGGATGGACCATGGATGATGGGACTTGAAGTACCTTCACTCACTTCCCAAGACTGCTGCGACCCTCATCCAATGACTGATCAAGACCAAACTTGGCACACACAGCCCCCACGACCCATTTAACATCCTGGTGCAGTTTGGAGGAGGATGGACCACAGATGATGGGACTTGAAGTACCTTCACTCACTTCCCGAGACTGCTGCAACCCTCATCCAATGACTGATCAAGACCAAACTTGGCACACAGAGCCCCCATTACCCACTTTACATCCTGGTGCAGTTTGGGAGAATTGGACCACTGATTATGGGATTTGTAGTACTTTCAAACACTTTGGTTCCCAGGGACCACTGTGGCCCCCAACAAAGACAGATAAAGTCCAAACTTGACACACAGAGCCCCCACGACCCACTCTACATCCTGGTGCAGTTTGGAGGAAGATGGACCACGGATGATGGGACTTGAAGTACCTTCACTCACTTCCCGAGACTGCTGCGACCCTCATCCAATGACTGATCAAGACCAAACTTGGCACACAGAGCCCCCATGACCCACTCTACATCCTGGTGCAGTTTGGAGGAAGATGGACCACGGATGATGGGACTTGAAGTACCTTCACTCACTTCCCGAGACTGCTGCGACCCTCATCCAATGACTGATCAAGACCAAACTTGGCACACAGAGACCCCACGACCTACTCTACATCCTGGTGCGGTTTGGAGGAGGGTGGACCATGGATGATGGGACTTGCAGTACCTTCACTCACTTCCTGTAACCACAGCGACACTCATCCACTTACCAATAAAGACCAAACTTGGCACAGAGAGCCCCCATGGCCAACTCAACATTCAGATGCGGTTTGGGGGAGGATGGACCATGGATGATGGGACTTGAAGTACCTTTGCTAACTTCCCGAGACCACTGCGACCCTCATCCAGTGACTGATCAAGACCAACCAAACTTGGCACACATAACCCCCATGAACCACCACACACATATACACAGACTGAGCCACAGCAACACGTGCCAGAGGACGGCTAGTACATAATATATTATAATGTAATATAATATAGATATATTAGCAAATAAATCATAAAATAATAGAAGATCTAAGTTAAAATATAATATGTATAATATAATATAATATAATATATCTATATAAATAAAAATGTAATGTTCGTTTGTGATACCATCAGAACTCAAAAACCACTGGGGGAATTGACACCAAATTTGGACACAAGACACCTAACAGTCCAATGTATGTCCTCCACTCAAAAAAATTGATTTTGTCATTTGGGAATTGTCGTTGCTGGGATTTATAGTTTACCTACAATCAAAGCACATTCTGAACTCCACCAATGATGGAATTGGGCCAAACTTAGCACACAGGGCTCCCATGACCAACAGAAAAAACTGGAAGGGTTTGGTGGACCTTGACCTTGAGTTTGGGAATTATAGTTCACCCACATCCAAAGAGCACTGTGGACTCAAAACAATGATGGATCTGGACCAAACTTGGCACGAATAGTCCATATGCCCAAATATGAACACAAATGGAGTTTAAGGGAAATAGACCTTGACATTTGGGAGTTGTAGTTGCTGGGGTTTATAGTTCACCTACAATCAAAGAGCATTCTGAACTCCACCAATGATGGAATTGAACCAAACATGGCATATAGGACTTCCATGACCAACAGAACATACTTAAGGCCATCCAGTCCAACTCTCTTCACCAGGGCAAAAAAACGTAATCAGAGCCCTCCTGACAAAGAGCCATCCAGTCATAGATAGAGATAGATGGATATGATTCTCTCTCACACACATAGATATAGTATCAGAGATTTGGCAGGAAAAACGAAATGCAAAGATACAGAATGGGGGACGATGCCCGGCTCGAGAGCAGTACGTGTGAAAAAGATCTTGGAGTCCTCGTGGACAACAAGTTAAACATGAGCCAACAATGTGATGTGGCGGCAAAAAAAGCCAATGGGATTTTGGCCTGCATCAATAGGAGCATAGTGTCTAGATCTAGGGAAGTCATGCTACCCCTCTATTCTGCCTTGGTTAGACCACACCTGGAATATTGTGTCCAATTCTGGGCACCACAATTCAAGAGAGATATTGACAAGCTGGAATGTGTCCAGAGGAGAGCGACTAAAATGATCAAGGGTCTGGAGAACAAGCCCTATGAGGAGCGGCTTAAGGAGCTGGGCATGTTTAGCCTCAAAAGAGACATGCATAAGAAGTGGAAAAAGGGAGAAATCACTAAAGAAGAATTTAAACAAATAGCTAACTCCTTTAGGGAAAAGGTCCGGAAGGCTAAACCACAAAATGAGCTTAGGCTTGCCAGGGACATCAAAAACAATAAAAAGGGCTTCTTTTCTTATGTCTTGGAGTTCTCATGGAAAACAAGTTAAACGTGAGCCAACAATGTGATGTGGCAGCATCACAGATCCAGGGAAGTCATGCTACTCCTCTATTCTGCCTTGGTTAAACCACATCTGGAACCACATTGTGTCCAATTCTGGGCACCACAATTGTGTCCAGAGGAGGGCGACTAGGGTCTGGAGAACAAGCCCCATGAGGAGCGGCTTAAGGAGCTGGGCATGTTTAGCCTGAAGAAGAGAAGGCTGAGAGAGATATGATAGCCATGTATAAATATGTGAGAGGAAGCCACAGGGAGGAGGGAGCAAGCTTGTTTTTTGCTTCCCTGGAGACGAGGACGTGAAACAATGGCTTCAAACTACAAGAAAGGAGATTCCATCTGAACATGAGGAAGAACTTCCTGACTGTGAGAGCTGTTCAGCAGTGGAACTCTCTGCCCCGGAGTGTGGTGGAGGCTCCTTCTTTGCAAGCTTTAAACAGAGGCTGGATGGCCATCTGTCAGGGGTGATTTGAATGCAATACTCCTGCTTCTTGGTAGAATAGGGTTGGACTGGATATTGGCCCAGGAGGTCTCTTCCCACTCTTGGATTCTATTATTATTATATTTGAAAGGGTCCCCTAAAGAAGGACAATAATATGTTGCATGTTCCAGAGTAGGCAAACCAGACAATCTCCACATCAACACTGACAAAGAAACAACAAGAAATACTGTTTACTCACAAGCAGAAAGGAATTACATAGATTAGAAACCAACACTTTCTCATTACTTCATTTTCCAGATCACCAGACTGGGCCACAGCAACGCCTGGCAGGGGACAGCTAGTGAAATCATAAAATCTGAACTTGGAGAGCCCTTGACAGTAGTGCATAGACATACATAAGCACACGCACACACACACACAGGCATGCATTTTGCAGCCGGCTATTAATAGCGGTCTGGAGGACGAGGGAGATTCCAGCCACAAAGGACGGAGGCCATTGTCCGCAGCCCGGCCCAAGCCAAGTAAGTTATTGCAAAAGGTAAATCGCTTTGATATAATAATAATAATAATAATAATAATAATAATAATAATAATAATAGGAAGCTAGGGCTGAGAGAGTGTCACCCAGCGAAGAGGGAGTCGAACCCAAGCCTATGGAAAGGAAGCAACTTTCGTACGCAAACTCATACAGGGATTATGCTTATTATTATTATCATTAATAGAACAAGCCCTATGAGGACAAGCCCTATGAGGAGCGGCTTAAGGAGCTGGGCATGTATAGCCTGAAGAAGAGAAGGCTGAGAGGAGATATGATGGCCATTGTTTTCGGCTGCCCTGGAGACTAGGATGCGGAACAATGGTTTTGAACTACAGGAAAGGAAATTCCACCTGAACATTAGGAAGAACTTCCTGACTCTGAGAGCTGTTCAGCAGTGGAACTCTCTGCCCCAGAGTGTGGTGGAGGCCCTTCTTTGGAAGCTTTTAAACAGAGGCTGGATGGCCATCTGTCAGGGGTGATTTGAATGCAATATTCCTGCTTCTTGGCAGAATGGGGTTGGACTGGATGGCCCATGAGGTCTCTTCCAACTCTTTGATTCTATGATCTATGATTCTATGATTATCATCCTCTTACCAGAGGCTGAAAAAGACATAGATGAAAATAATGTTTACATGCCTATATGAGAAGACATAGAGCTATGTTTTGACTTTTAAAAGCTGTGTTGCGTTACGTACCAGTATATACGTTCCCTGTCACTTTAATTTGTGTGAGTGAGTGAGCATCTGCCGGGAGGGATTTGATCTCCAATAGATAGATTGACTATATCAAAAGTTTAATTTTTAAAAGTTGTGTTGACTTTCCTACTATATATGTTCCCCATTTGCTTTAATTCGTAAACTGCTCTGATCTCCAATATTATAGATAGATAGATGCACAGATAGATAGATAGATAGATAGATAGATAGATAGATAGATAGATGCGTAGATGGATGGATGGATGATGGATGGATGGATAGATAGATGCATGGATGGATGGATGGATGGAAGATAGATAGATAGATAGATAGATAGAGAGATAGATGCGTAGATGGATGGATGGATGATGGATGGATGGATAGATAGATGCATGGATGGATG